TTTTTTTTTTTTTTTTGGTGATAGGTAGCGTACAAGTGAAATGGTGACGTAAAGAGTTAAAGTACATTTAATACATTTTTATTGACCTATTCTAAATGCATGCTTGAAAAAAATCAATTTTTTTTTGTTTAAATTGATCACACATATTTTTATTTACGTATTTTGTAGATTTTACAATTTATATTCACTTATTATTCATATATTCTACAAGATCAACTTATAAATACTTTTAAAAATTTAAACTTTACCAATCATTCACTAAAATGGGCTCTTTATTTTTCCCATTCTCTATATTGTAGATGGTTCAATATTAATTTTCATAGTCCAACAACTCTATCTTTAAAAATTAAAAAGGATAATAGAATTGACTCTCTATATATAAAGAGTCAGTGCCCTTTTTGGTATGAATTAAAATTAAGATTTTAATCTAAATTAAAATCAATAATTAATTTTAAGCACACATTTTATGGGACTTACAACTTTTCAACAATATATTTTATCTTTTTTTTATCAAAATTTATTAAAAATTTGATTTTAATCCTCACTGAACTCTGCTTATATATTATTTGTTAGTGCTTTTGTAAGAGATTACGCAATTTTCTAGGTGAAGCAAGTAAAGAAAATGAATAAAAAAGTTTGATCATTATTTATGAGAATTAGCAAAATAATGAGTATTCATATAGAGTGTTATGGACTATTAACACTTTATTTTTAGAAAAAAATTCAAGAAGTATCAAAATATGCTCTTTAAAATTTAAAAAAAAAAAAAACAAATTGTTGGATGCTGCAAATAAATAGAAAAACATTCAACGATTGCAGGGCATGCATGCTAAATTGTTGTTTTAACTTCATGCGTTAATTAAAAAAATTGTATTAAGTTCCAGTAACAAAATTGTTGTACATTTTTTGCATCACGAGTAACATTGTCTAGAAGAAAGTCAAGTATTTAAAGAGATTAAAATAAATTGTAGGGATGGCAATTCGAACTGTGAAAATCGAAAATCGCGGTTAACCGAATCGAATGGGGCGAAAAAAATCGAATCGATGGTGCATTGTGATGGTTATGAATTTGATTTTAATGCCCCGATTCGTGGTGCGGCGGGTATGGTATTTAACAACGGTGACCCGCTCCGAACTGATTACCGGCTAAAAAAATAAATTTAATTGGACAATTTTAGTTTTTTTTATTTTTTTGGACAAACACAATTAAAAAATTGAGCCCATTACCCACAAGTCCAACCCAATTCATTTATACCCTAACACAAATATCAAATCAATCACCACGTTAAAACTGAAAATTGAATATCCTCATTTCAAAGCAGCCGACTGCCGATTCCATCGCGTCTCTGTGCGAATTGCGAATCCAAAATCTTCAGGCCACAAACAGAGACGTTCACCTCCCACAGATATTCTTTATCTTTCTTTCTCTACCCTCATTTATCAGCTTCAGGTCAGAGTTTTATCTATTGTGATCCCTCTTTTTCTTATGGTTTGCATTTGTCGGGTTTTTAGTTTTGGGTATTGAAGATTTAGCTACAGAAGGTGCATTTATGGCAATAACAGTATGAAAGATTGGATCTTTTTGGATCCATCTAGATTAGCTTATAGTGGGTAGTTTAAAGTATTGTCATTTTTTTTTTGGTAGGTTTATGTTAATGTAGACATGAGACTTACAATTGGATTTTTGATTCTGATAAAAATATGTTTTGATGTTTAATATGTAATCCTACTCCAATAGGATACTAAAATGCAATGAAGAACTGATTTTCTGCATTGCTATAAGAGTGTTTAAAAGTAATTTATCTCAACTTATTAATTATTTGAAGTTGTTTCTTTGTGATTTTTGGGGGTTTTTGGTTGTTTGAATTTATCTGAGGTTTGCACTGACTTATAAATTCCCTTNTCCATTTTTATTTCTCAAAATTAATTGGGCAATTTTTTTTTGGACTTTCCAAAATTTTGGCCCAATTATTATTAACTAAACTTTAACCCAATAACCCAAGCCCAGTAACCCAATTCAATGTCAATGTACCCTACACATAATTAAAATGGAAAAGTTCATAGATCAGGTATTAACTTTGACACTTGCAAAAATCAGGTGCTAAAATTTTAAAATTGCAAAAATCAAATTTTTAGACATGGGGTAAAATTTTGACTTTTACGTTATAAGAAAATATAGAATTTTATACTAACTTTTACATAATAAGAGAGTATAAAATTTTATGTTTTGCATCAAGAGCAGCATTGTTTCGAAGAAAGTGAGGTAAACTTAAAGAGATTGGTATGAATTGAACGATCTCGTCTGTTGACATGTGAGAAGAAGGGCCCAAGCATGGTTTGACTTGATTCGACAATTGAGTCAAGTCAAGCTAGGATATAAATTCATTCAATTTCATATGAATCTGTATTTTGAAAATGGTGAAAAGCTTCTTGAAAAAATCTATAGGACCATGTGAAGCAAAGAGATTTCCTATGCATTACGTAATCAAGTTGTGATGCCCCTTTCAACTTTCGTAAATAGATCAAAATTAACATATCAAATCAACAAAATGAAAATAAAATAAAGATTTAGACATGGGGTGAGATTAAGGGGTTGTCTAATTGCATATAGGAGAGGACACAAAGAGAGCCTACAATCTTGGATTAGTGTCTGCTTATTGGGAGAAAACTCAGCACAGTCAGTGGGCCCACTCGGTCAAAACCCACCCACCACCGACGTTGCTTAAATAAATATTTTTCTAGAATAATGTTATTTGCAACTCAATTTTCAATAAAATTGCAGTTGAAATTATTAAATTTTAATTTGTCTAAATTGAATCATTAAATTTAGTTTTTTTGGTGGTCACGAAAATTCGATCTAGTTTCAAATTAATCATTTTATCACGTGTTATCTCCTAAATCGATGAAAATTGATTAG